ACAGTGATCATTACACAGTGTGGCTCTAATTCTTCACTTCACCATCTGTGTCCAAAATGAGCGTACGCATGGGTCAGAGCTGGCGTGAGGCACCGCACATTTTCACGTCAAGTTTGGATTTTATAAATCACAACCTTGGCGTAAAAAGTGGCGTACGCAAGTTTCTGGGCTCAAATTGTGCTTACGCCAGTTTTATAAATCCGACCCCAGGACATACCTCTCATGATGTCGATTTATGGCCAATAACACACACTTAAACTTGAACAACCTTATCAAACTGAACAACAAAACTAACCAGAACAACTAATTTTTACTCTCATGAAACTTCTTTAATAGTCATAAACATGCAAACACATCACTTCTACAAGATTACCCAGCATTCTGTGCTGATAAAATATTGGTCTGTCTGACATGAGGTGGAAGAGGGTGGGGCTTTTCAGAACACTTCTTTCAACACTGCATGGTGTTAAATAACAACATTGTTAAGTGTTCTATAAGACTTAACAATGGGCGGAGCTTATTTAACACTGGCTAGTGTTGAGACAACACTGATAAAAATCAACACTGTGAATTAACACCAACACTGGGTGTCAGTTTACTCAGKGTTAAACGAACACTAGGGGGTGTTATATCAACACCCAAAAGTTTAACACTGAAATTTTAACACTCCTGTTTTTGCTGTGTAGTAAATATGCCAGACCTGTATTTTGTCGCTGCTACAAAAACACACCAAAAACAGGAAACAGTTGTGGAGTGCGCACAAAAAGCTTTGCACTCTGCGTGGGTAATACCTACACCCAATAGAAGAAGGCGGTGCCTCTAAATTGTAGTTTATGTTAAAGGTGGGGCAATGATATTTCTTTCTAAAGGTTGCATTTTGTCTGTTTACACAAATAAATGTTTGAGTATTTAGAAAAACTATTAGAGTGGAACATCAACAAGTTAAAAATTTAAACCAAGCGTTGCGGCCAAGCTCGTTCTTGAGAATCRAAGCCAGCAGGGCCTGATTTCCAAGTTGTCATGTTGTGTTCTCTGGACCAGAGTTGGCTCACTAATATGCCTACTCCCCTTAAGTAGCATGACTACACAAACCTACAATCAGCACCACATTCTGTACTTGATACAGCTTCCAAATCCAGCTTTCTATTTAGAGTCCAATATTTCCTGACATGTCAATAATGTGGATGGACCCTGAGGTGCTAACCTGGACTCCAAAACTCCATAATCTGATGAGGTCTGTGGCATCCGTGGGAAATGAGCCTAATCCCTCACAGCTGCAGGAGCCGATGAATCCACAACCCCTAACCACCCTACAAGTCCTCTTCATGTTCTGACTGGTCAGAGCTGTTTGTTCTACATCACTGCACAGGCAATCATTACAATATGGCTTGTTGCTGTAAACTAATGTGATCAGAGCCAAAACTCACCTCCTCCCCACCCCCTTACTACAACACCCAGAATACATAAATGTCGATTTGTTGGCTTTAAAATACTATTTCTGCTGCAGCAGTAAGAGTGATAGCGAGGAGTGCTGAGTCATMACATACGAGGTTGCTCATTTTTTAACAGATTACTTGTCCCAGCTCTTTTAAAAAAACTCTCCACCGGATTCGGCTTATTTAATGAAAGAGGGACATTAAAGCCCAGAACAGATGGAATGCAATAAATATTAAAGGAAGTTAAATGTCACGCAGTCCCGTCTCCTCAGACCTCCCGCTCCTGCAGGAGCAGCAGCTCCATTCCAGAGGTGTTCCAAACAAATCTTTTGCATTTTCAGTTTACAGCTCCACACCATCTTTGATCCCGAGGATTGATTTATGTTCTCTCAGAAGTAGGACTTCAAACATGCTGTCGAACATGTTTCTGGTTGTTCTGAGCTGCCACGCTGGAAACGGATGTAGGCTGTGTGAGGGTGGGATTTTGTTTGTGCAGCCCAAAATTATGCTGAAATGTTTTTTTTTTCTCTATGTTTTTTTAAAGGTCCAGTAGAATTAATTTAGTGTTAAACTCTGAGTCCCAAATTCTGTTTTTATGTGGCTAAAATAAAAGTGAAAAGCTTTATATTAATGTCTCCAATAGGATTTTAAACCTGTTTTCCTACATTTTCTTTTTTGTGAGTTCTGATGTTTTGTGACGTTATTTTGGTCTTGTAAAATCTTGCCTTGCAAGAGTTTTATTTCATATGTAATGGCTATTCAGCTGAACTTTGTTTTATGACATTATTCATGAACATTTGTACTCTTATTTCTAGATTCTAGTTTCTTGTCTTTATTCACCTGTTGCCTCATTAAGATTCTGTTTAATTAAACTTAGCTGGCTGTGAGGTTTAGTCTGCCATTCTTTGTTGTTGCATACATTAAATGGATCTCACCCATTTTCTTCTTCCAGCAGCATTTTTAGTTTTTCCTTGATCCATTTTAAATTGCTCTTTCTTAGACATTAAGTGCCCATAAATAAACGTATAATCAACCAAAACATAAAAAAGCACATTTATAGGCACATTAACAGACACGGGATCTTTTAGAAAAGTCTTAAAACGATATCCTCTCTAAAATTATGGATTTTTTTTCTATTACTAAATAGATGCTCTATATTTACTTGCATTTCACTGTATTAAAAAAAGCTTTGAAGAGAGTGAAAAACATTTTACTTCACTAGATTAGTGTTTATTTATGGTTATCAGTTTTAAAACAGCCAAAATGTCTACACTAAATAAATCCCTCCTTGTCTTGTCTCCTGTAAATGATTAACTCTTATCACAAAAGTTGCATCTTCCCATTTACTCAAATGCAAAAGAAGATGGAAAATTGTAATTATTCTTTTCCTTGAAAAAAAAACTGTCATTTTCACATTTTCTCAGAAACTAATTTGCAGTTTCACGTGAGTGGAAAAYACAAACTCATCTCACCGTGCATTTCATCGGAATAATTCCCACCCACTCAAATCATGTTGGCATAATTTCAGTGATAATTGTAAAATGTGTTAATGTTTAGTGCCATTATTGCTGCTGATTTCTGTAGAACAATAAAACWATTTTTTTTGTCAGTGACACAACATATTCATTATTTTACATAGTGAAGYTAACCTTCAGCTTGAGAACATGGAAATGTTTATTTTATATCCAACTGTTTATTAAAAAAGCTGTAGCATTTTGTTGCTTTTAAGTTTAATGAGTTAAACTGAAAAAAAGAAAAAAAAACATCCTCCAATAAAGGCTTATAAGAAAACAAAACTCAACAAGCAGGATTAGSAGTAAAAAGATTTGTAAAAACTGACCTCTGAGAACCTCTGCACGTCTTGTGTGAGGGTCCCCACACGAGTCCAGTTGTAGTGGTTGAGAAACTTGACCACTGCCGGGTTCACAGCGTTGTCGGACGGGACGGTGCGGAAGAAGTTGGGGTACTTTTTCTTGTCTGCCAGAACCGGGGTTGTTGCTGCGAAGGACAGCTGTAATGAAAGAAGATGAGATGAAGTWAACATGAGGATCTTCAGTGAAAAGTAAATAATCCTGGCATCAAGCTGACATATTCTGGTGGATTCTTTTCTTGCTTTGGGTTGATGAGGCTCTGGTTCAGTTCATCTGTGACGTATGCACATTAAATCACAGGAGTGCACAGCGGGTAAAATAAATATTGAACACGTCACCATTTTTCTCAGTAAATATATTACTAGAGGTGCTAATGAC